CCGGGTGTCCAGGCTGGTCCGCTTCTTCAACGAGGTGGAGAAAGTAAGTTCAAACCCACAAATCTCGCCTCTGGAAATTCAATCGGCCTTTCTCCGGCCCGCCGACACCTCGCCACACCCGGCTCCGGTGACAGGTCTGACTTTGAGCGCTTTGCAATGTCACTTGTAGAACACGATCTGGCAGCCGAGTCGGACTCGTCCTAATCCGACCGGCTCGCACAACAAAGACCTTGAGGTAGAAAAGACTCGACGATAATCTCATGATGAAACCCGATACGACCCCCAAAGCGGATCATATCGGAACCCGTAATCGACCGCTGGTGGCTGAAAATAGACGACGGTGCAGCCGGAGGTTTGCTCAGGAATCCGGCGCTTGTTTGTTTTTTCCTGGAAAACCTGGAAACTGTTCGACGTCTTTTGCTAAAAGTAAAAGCAGCAGATTCAGTCAGACTTTAAACTCTGTCCGCGATGTTCTGTTTGGTGGAGACTTTCTGCTTCCTTGAATATGATGTTAATCAAACTTTAACAAATGTTTTTACGTTGTGTTATTTTTATTATTTTGCGTGATCGGAGAACGAGGCGAGGACCGAGATCTGCACCTTCTAGAGGAAGAAACAGTCATTTAAAGCAGACGGGGATTCTTTTCATGGAAGGAACTGATTCTAAACATGTAATTTGGACACACAGAGATGTTTTTTAGGGGTTAAATCAGTGACCAGACAGGGATATTGTAAATCGCTATTGTAATTTAGCCGCTACGTCGTTTGAATTTGTGTACGTACCGTCGTTTTTTAGGTTGGGAGATGCACACCGGGCCAAACTTACTCTGGTGTGTTCTGCTTTTCGAAGGCTGCATTAATCGCTGGAGTTTTGGAGGCGATGACGTTGCAGCTTTTTCTGTCTGTTGTGTTAGTTTGGTGGCAACACGTGTTGGATTAGTTCCATTCATTCGGCTGTTCGACTGGACGACATGAGAACCTGAAGGGCTCATTCTGACTTTCAAACTTCAGACCTTCGTTTTTGTCTCCTAAAGCTAATCGCTGAGATCTGGAAAGTCACATAAACAGAATTAAACCGCAGCACGAAGCACGAGCAGGCAGTTAATTGGACGGGCTTCGTTATTTAGACGAGGAAACAAAGGCGGGAGATGAAAGTGTGCCCTCGGCTGTCCGTCGTAGACGTCCGTGACCAGCTGCACTGACCGAGGTTGTGTTTAATGAGGGCTCATTAGCATTATTCCAGGTGCAAATTAGCCGCTTTATATAATCCAGCTGAACCGTGGGCTCACTTACAGCCCCTCTGATCATGTTTCTCATCCTGTCTGACCTTGTCGCAGTTGGAGACGTCCTCATTCGATGGCCAGATTTAAAAAAGGACCAAAACTTTGATAATAGTAGTGATAAGAAGCTCAACTCTTCTGACATCGTAGCAGCTGGACCTGCTTGAGTTGCTTGAAGACGTTCCACCTTATCCAAGAGGCTTCATCAGCTCTGACTGACTAGTTGGGAGTTCCACATCCTGATATCCTGAAGGAACCATTAACACCTGAGTTTGGGTTTAAATCGGGGGTTTGTTACTCCTCCCCCTCCAACTGAAACGAACCCCCAGTTGAAGCCGAAACTCAGGTGTTAATGGTTCCTTCAGGATATCAGTATGTGGAACTCCCAACCAGTCAGTCAGAGCTGATGAAGCCTCTTGGATGAAGGTGGAACGTCTTCAAGGAACTCAAGCAGGTCCAGTTGCAACGCTTAAACTACCAGAATAACCACGACCTGGATGACTGAGGATCTTCACAGACAGCTCTCTAAAGTTTATCCAGATGTTGCTCGACTTTGACCGCTATAACACGTTTTGTTCTTGGTGGTTGTTGAGGAAAACTACAAAGTACTCCCTGTTTACTGGTTAAGTCGGGGGGAAGAACCGCTGATCCCAGGTTGAACCCACCGTGAGATAAACAGCTGATCTGCAGGTTGTGTGTTCTGCTTACCGAGTGTTTCCTGTCGTCTCTCGTCAGGTGTCAAACGCCAACCTGGAGGTGGTCCGGCTGTTCTTCCGCATCCTGTCGCTCTTCATGATGATTTTCCTGCTGTGCCACTGGAACGGCTGCATCCAGTACTTCGTCCCGATGCTGGAGGAGTTTCCCAGCGACTGCTGGGTCCGCAAGGAAAACCTGATGGTGAGGCTCGTCTGACCAGAACCTCCTCTGTGGGAATCATGATGGGTTTTATTACCTTTGTCTACTTTACCTGCCAACGGTGTAAATAACAGATCATGCTGATCGTTTGCTGGTTCGAGCAACTCTGTACAAATTAGGGATCAACTGATATCCACCGTTGGTAGGCCGAGAGAGGCTGATAACCAACATCTGGACCCGATGGACAAAACATGTGGATATTCACAGCATGTGATAGCAGAGACCCTCTCATTCATTATTAATGATTACTGTAACTGAATATGTATGATAGGAACAGAAGTGATGACAGCTGAGCTTCAGGTGGCGCTACGATACCCTCCTGTTTACTGTGAGATCGATCGATTGAGATCAATAACAGTTTGTCTCCTTCTGTCTCTTTTATGATCCATTAAGGTCCAGATCATGAAGCATTTAAAAAAAAATAAAAAATTCAGATACAGTTTGAGGTTAGTCTGTGACTGCCTCCTAACTTAGCTGCTAACCGTTAGCATAGCCTTTGCAGCTACAAAAACAGCTAATGTCCTGATTTGAAACGACGGGTGACAGCTCCTTGTTCTGTGTCTTTGCTAGAGAGACGTGTCTGACACTTAGATTGCTAAAGTTAGTCTGATAGCGTTAGCTGCAGGCTAACAGGCACAGCTAACCTCTAAGCAATAGCCGTAGCCTAGCACTGTCACCACCACTTGCTAACAAGCTAATTCTTGGGTGCTGCTCTGCTCTGCTGAGCAAATGTGCTCATCTGTCTCTCTGTGTAAACAATCGTTTTCGTTGATTGGCTGCTGCTCCTGACGTGGACAGCCAGTCAGATGGGTCTGTGGGCGGGGCTTTGAGAGATAAAGCTGCTGCATCAGAGCTAAAGGAGCGCATTTAATTTATTTTGCAGTAATTGGTCACTGATAATAATCTAATAATGCTAAATATCGGCCTCAGTTATCGGTTGGGCAGGTAATCGGTAAAAACTCATGACTTGTACAGTAGGAAAGTGTTCCTCTGACAGATGAAGCCTCGACTCTTGTCCTACAAAACATCACTAAAGATGAAACTCTTTCTTCCAGAACGCTACGGTGATCGTGAAATACTCGTGGGGAGTTTTCCGAGCTCTCTCGCAGATGATCGCGCTCTCTTACGGCTCCATGGACGCTCCAACAAGTGAGCATTGAAGGTTTTCTTTATGCGCCACCTTAAAAACATCACAGGTGTGTCTCTAAAGGTGCGCTTCGTCCTCCAGATTACGTTGAAATGTGGATCGTCATGGTCAGCATGGTGTCCGGCTGTCTGATGTACACCGTCCTCGTGGCCAACGCCACGGCCATGATCGTCAACGTCGACCCGGCGGCCAAAGAGTACAAGAGCAAGGTACCGCGGCCACAGCAGCAGACATGGCATCGCTAACGAGTTGTTAGACGTTGTTAGAACCAGTTGATTGAAACCTTCATTTCTGTTTTGGTGCTTTCAGTTTATTTGTGTTGCACATAATCACCACATTTGTATTCACAATATATTATATTAGATAACAGAAATACATCAAATGAGCCATTTCAGATTACTACTAAAGACAGATTAATTTACTACAAAAATATTAAATTACTGAAAGAACATATGCATTATATAAATTACTAAAATCATTTATCAGATTGAACGTTTTCACTTCAAAGTAAAATTATTATTATTGTGGTTGTTTTTAGTATTAATAGTCATAATAATAATAATAATAATACAGATTTATTCTTTTAGATAAAATTGTAATTTCTTAAATAATGACTTGTCTTCTTATTTATAATATACATCCATATTTTTCTTTAATATTTATTTCTTTAACTTTAATTAATCTGCTTATTTATGGTCATACATTAAAAAATGTGTATTTATTTCTTTAATTTCTGGTTACTTTTCTTCTTATTTTTATTTCTTCATTTATTACATAATTTACAGTTAATCTATTTACTCAAGGTTATACATTTAGATTCTTCTCGATATTATTTCTTTAATTATTCTATTTATTCACGGTTATATGTTTATGTTTTCCTTGATATTTCTTTAACTTCTAATTTAGTTATTTTTTCATGTCAAAACATTTATATTTTTCTTCATATTTTTTAAATTTCTAATTAAGCTTTTTACGTTTATATTTTTCTTGATATTATTTCCTTGTTTCACAATATACTATTTATTCATGGTTATATATATTTTTTCTTATTATTTTCTTTTTAAATAACTAATCTATTTATTCATGGTTATACTTTAATTTTCTCTTCTTGTTATTTTTTTAATGACCTGTTTATTCATGGTTATATTTTTTCTTAACATTTATTCCTTTAAATCATAACTAATCAGTTTATTCATGGTTATAATTTACATTTTCCTTTATTTATTTATATTTTAACATCTAATTAATATATTAATTTATGGTTGTACATTTACATTTTTTAATATTTGCTTCTAACTTTTAGGTGTTTCTGATTTATTCTTCACTTTGCAATGCTAACATGTAATCATGACTCATGGCTGAATTCATTTAGATGCTGGTGTCCACGTCCTGCTCTCAGCCAGCATCGCTGTGGAAAGTAGACACGGTTATGAAACGTGATTAGACATGCAGCCTCGGTGGATGTTAGTCCTGCAAACGTCATGAATTATGTGCGTGGAGGCGAGTCGCGCCTGAACAAATGAAATAAACTGCTGTGACTGTGTGCAGATGAGCCGTCTGGAGCACTACATGGCCTTCATGAAGCTGCCGCCGGAGCTGCAGCTTCGCATCAACAACTACTACCAGGCTCGCTACGGCGGCAAGTGGTTCGACGAGAAGGACGTCATGGACACGGTGTCCTCGGCGCTGAAGGAGGTGCAGCTGCAGCTAATGCTCGACCCTGAGCCGCTTAGATCTGATCATAAGCCTTTGGGTTTTTAGTTATTAATACCCCAAAGTTCTCATGGATGCAGCACTTTATATCTGTTTTATATTTGCTGTTTGATTTCACTGAGCAATAACAATAAAGGAGTTCTGTTTTATTCTATACTGATACCGACAGCATGAGAAGTTAGTTTTATCATCATTTAGTCAGTCAGAAATCTAAAGATATTATATTAGAGTGATGTAAGAGAAGAAAAGCTGGAAATAAAGTCATGATAATATCAGTATAAAGGCACGTTTTTGTTCTGAGGTGCATTTTATTTACCAAATTATTGTCATGAATCTCCATCTACAGTTTATTTGTATGTTATCTCCTCTGGTGTTATGTAGAATCGTGCTTCCTCAGGTCCTCGATCCCTGTTTTTGTGTTTTTTTTAATCCTTTATGTATAACATGATGCATGTTTAATCCGTTCCTGCACTCTGTCGTTACATTTCATTAGTAAGAAAAGTGCCCGCTGGATAAAGTCCGATTGACTGACTGGTCCTGTTCTGTTCTGTTCTGTTTTGTTTGTTTTTCCAGCAAATCCTGACGGTGATGTGCAGCCGGCTGCTGAGGAACGTGCCCATCTTCCAGAACAGAGACGAGAACTTCATCAACGTCATCCTGCCGAAGCTGGAGTACGAAGTGTACCAGGAGGGCGACGTCATCGTCCGGCAGCACGTCCCCGGCGACCGCATGTTCTTCATCGACCACGGCCAGGTCCTCATGGAGGCCGACTCCTATGAGAGGGAGCTGTGCGACGGAGACTTCTTTGGAGGTCGGTCGGATTCACTCGGGTTCCTAATTTCCCCACTAATCAGTTTAACCGTCGCACTGGAGGGCTTTAGGGGCAGCACAGTGGTTCTACTGGGGACGTTTTTAGGCCGATTCTGATTATTAGTGATCAAGAACAGCTGATAACCGACATTTGGAGGCGATGTGTGTTAGATGTGATGGTTAACAGCACATGACAGCAGAAAACCTGTCATTCATAACTTCTTCATTAATTAGGCTGAAATTAGAAACAAGAGTGATTGAATTAGGACTGAAATCGATCCGTTTGTCTCCTGCTGTTCATCAGGTTTCCAAATCTTTCATCGTTTATCAATTTTATCGCCTGCTAAGGTCCAAATCTTAACATTAATTACTGTTTTCCTGTTTCAGGTTAATCAGTGGCTGCCTGCTAACTTAGCCGCTAGCTGCTAGCTGTTAGCGTAGCCGTAGCTACTGTGAGAGGAGCTAACTTCCTGTTTTGTGTCTCTGTTGAAGAGACATTTCTGAGACCACAGAGTGACGACGGACAGAGAGAGGAGGCTGCAACTCACCTGAAGCCTTAAATTTATCAATAATCGGTCAATATAAATACTAATCGTTTCAAAAACACAGTGATCAGCAGCTATCCCTGGTTTTTGCAGAGTTTGAAGAACATTTTCCCCCCTTACTTCCAGAAGTATTCGACCGTTCAGGTCCTTCTAACTCCCGTCAGACTCAGTGGAGGCGACGGGAGTTTAATTTGCTGCACAGAAAGCAGCAAAACTTTAAACTCTCGTCTCTTATAATTTGCTGTCAGTTTTCATAAAGGCTGTTTTTATTAGACAGTCGTCCCAGTCGGAGCTGTTCGGAGGCCCCTTCTAAAACAACCGTAATTAATTTTCTTGACGAGCGCCTCCACCTCCTCCTGCCAGACTCCATTTAAAAAATCTGTCAGTTTCCCTCATTAGACCGACGGGTCGGCGTAAACACATCTGGCTGCGGATTATCTACTGTAACGCGGCGGATGTTTCCAGGAAAACTTATTTCTGGTGCCATCAAGCTGCAAGAAGTGAAATGAAACTCTGCTGTCCTACAGATGCAGGTATTAAGAGCTGATCTCAGCTTTGTGCAGAACAAGAGCTTTGAAACGCAGTCGGTACGAGTAAAGTCACAGAAACTTTTTGATTTCCACGTGTGAGCGAGATGAACTCTGTCCAACCGAACTTAATAAATCTGTCTTTTCCAATTTGGTTCATTTAATTCTCGGGCTTTAAGTGGGAGCGGGTCCTAATCTGGTTTTTGGCAGCAAAACCCTCGGCAGAGCTAAGCAGGCTTCCTCCCCCCACACCGACCGGCCCGCCGAAGTCCGCTTGTTTAATTTGGGATTAATTGTCAGATCTCATCCCCGTCATTAGGGTTTACCCGCTCATTAACCACGGCCCTGTGCTTCCCTTAACAGAGACGTGCGTGCTGACCAAAGGCAAACATCTGGCCACGGTGAAGGCGCTGACCGACTGCCAGTGCTTCTCTCTGTCCTGGGACGACTTCCACAAGGCGCTGGAGGGCTTCCCAGATGTCAAGAAGGACTTAGAGAAGATGGTCCAGATCGACTCGGATGGTGGGCTCGTGTGAGACCAAAAAGCGGGACTTGCTTCGTGAAAAGGACAGACGCTATGCACTTCCAGGGCATTTCATGTGGTTACGTAAGACTTTGCTCACGTGGACGCAAGCACTTGAGACGGACGGGTTTTTTTTCTCTCTCTCTAGGAATCATCTGTCTTCTGATTCATCAGTAATAATCAGCAATAAACAAAGACCTCAGCAGTACAGACTTGAGACATTTGACCTCCCTGTTGGCAGTTTAGCATCGATGTCTTAGCTGTAAAACGAGAGAGACAGTGAAGAAAACTCCAACCCATCCATCATGACGTAGACCCACCCCAGCAGCCACAGCATTCAATACATAATCGTAACATCCACTTCCCCGTCGCATTTAGTGCTCAGGAACAGCTGGAGGAACACGACCAAGAGCCCCGAGACAAACTCCAAACTCCACAGACCTCAATCCGACCTGACAGCGGGCTCGTGAAAGAAAAAAAAAGGACATTTGGCTTTATTAGTCGGACAGACGCTATGCATTTCCAGGGCATTTGATGTGGTTACATAAGACTGTGCTCACATGGACGCAAGCTGGACACTGAGATGGACGGTTTTAGAGCATTTCTTCCTCTCTAGGAGTCACCCTGTCCTCTGATTCATCAGTAATAATCAGCAATAAACAAAGACCTCAGTAGTAAAGACTGAAAACATCTGATATCCTTGTTGGCGTTGCAGTTTAGTGTCGATGTTCGGTGCATTTCGTAGCTACAAAACAAGAAAGACGGGGAGGAAACAGAAGCAGTCGGATGATTGCAGGTTTTAAACAAGTTGTGACGTCAGATAAAGTTATTTAAACGACGATATTTAGCAAAACTATCACCCATTAATCACAGTTTAGACCAACAACAACCACCGATCAGCCACAACATTTAAAGCACTGATGAAGGGACTAGCACTGATTATCTCATTATAGTCCAGTGTTCTGATTGGATAACTTGGGTTCTAGCATTCACAGGGATGCTACTCTGTCGTCCACCAGCTACCTGCCACACTGCATCCACTGCTCAGGAACAGCTCGAGGAACACGACCAAGAGCCCCAAAGCATTGCCGCAGTCTCCAAGCTCTACAGACCTGCAGACAGAGGTCCCAACCCGCAAGATCCACCACTAAGATGCATGTACCACCCCCATTCTTCCTTCATCCATGTTCCAGTGGGGGGCTTATAAGCACTTTTAAATGTTGTGACTGATTCGTGGAGCTTTCCTGCGCGTTATTATCAGCATTTACGGTAACCTCAGCTTCAGCATTATCTCCAGACGTGATCTGGCTAAACTTACAAACACTGCATGTCCAGACTTCTTGTGTTTCTCCCCTCTGTGGACCTAGTTGTTGTGCTACCTACCTGTTCTCACGTCTAGATGCTGATATCGACACACGGACCTGTGTACAATGGCAGCGCTAGCATTCTGATGTTCTGGCATTCATTGTATTTACGATCATTAGCAGCTGCAGGTTGTGGACACGTCGAGTTTTGCAGGTATTTGGTCACAAACCAAAGTATTATACAAAGCGGACTTCTGACCTCACTCTGGTTCTGCTCTGGGGACCATGTCTGCACAAAGTTTCATGCAATCCAGCTGATGTCGGTGGAGGTATTCCAGTCTAAACCAAAGTTGACGGTGTAAATGCTATACATGTGTAGTTCAGTTTACCGTTTCCTTCCATCCAACACGCTCACTACAAGAACAAACTGTTCACTTAACATCGAATTTATCTCGGACGCTCGAGATGATCGAGTCATTCATTTCATCTGTGTTTGGTCGTAACCTTTTGGCTCATCGGTGTAGACGAAACCCAAGTTACTCACTTCAGAAGAAGGTTAAAACTCATGTATGTATTTTTTCTCTATAATAACATTTATTTGGAAGTAATATTACAGAAGACACGCTAATGCCACTGTGAACGCAACAAATACAAGCCGATGTTGTACTACTGAACAGCAGCTTGTCTCGTCTTACTTTCATCCAAACACACACACGGTGCCCGAAGCCAGGCGGTGTTTGTACTCGTAGAGGTAATACGAGGCTGGAGGGAAGTTGCACTTCATCTCCATCCTGCCCGGCACCACGTGGACGGCCACGCCGGATCCCAGCCCCTCCTGCAGCTTCTGCAGCATCCGCGACGCCAAGTACCGCCTCGCCCTGCCCGGGTCTTCCTCGATGGACGCGTAAACCTCAGGCGGCGGGTTGGGGATCTTCCACTCCAGGTCCACGATGAGCTGGTGGATGCGGCTCTTGTCCAGCGAAGTCGGTGCGTCGCGGTAACACGCCACCACGTGAGGGATTGGAGCTTCGGACGCGACGGAAAGCAGATTGTTGGACTGCTCTTCTGTCAGTACGTCTTCCTTTTCCTCGTCACCTTCCTGCACCTCCTCGTCCTCCGTCGGTCCCACGGCCGGGTGGAGCATCACCGCCCAGCGCAGCCAGTCGTAGTTCTTCTCCAGGGCCTTCAGGATGTCGGCCGCCGCCTCCTCCGGCGGTGCTCGCTTCTGCACGGCCTCCTGGAGCTGCTGCCGGATGTCGTCTTCCGCCTGTTCCAGGAAGTAGCTCAGGCAGCGGCCTCCCGAGTTCTTCATCTTCCTGTAGAGGGCTCCCATACGGTCGGACCAGCTCTTCATCAGCAGAGCCTGGTCTCTGCCGGTCAGAGACGCCTGAGTGAAGAGACACAGCAGACCGGTGCCCAGGACGAAATTTATCTGTCAGGAGAAAGACAAGGAAAAGGGCAAAGGCTGAGCTTACAGGCAGCGGTAAAGAAAGTGATCTCTAACATCCGTTTTACTGTGTAGATGGGTTGTTTCAGCACATGGCCTCACCGATCTCCAAACTGTTCACTACCAGTACATATCACTTGGGTTTTACTGATACCATAATCGATACCAGTCTCTATATTTAAGGACAGAAGACGAGGATAAAAGTTGTCTGTGTGATTATTAAACTGAAACATAACGGTATACTACAGAAGTGCTGAAATCGACGCCAACAGCTGTGACATAGCAAACACCCGACTCTATAGACCTATAAATAAAACTAACTCCTGCTGTTACCTGGGTTCTTAGTTCTGTTATTCCCTGTAGCGTGTCCATCAGAGCCATTGGGGTTCGGAGGATCCGCTACTGCACTAGCATTAGCTGCTTTGACAAAGCTGTCAAACACACTGCACTGCTTCATATTTAAGTGTTTCATGAGGTTGCAGGTGTTGCCTCGTTTACACACAGCTACCGTCAGACGCAACTTGTGTGTAGCGGCATCGTCAATAAATCTATAAACGTGAGCCCACACTTTGGTCATTAGGCTAATGCTAAGAGCGGCTAGCAGCGGCACGACAATGCAACTTCATCAGCTGACCCCGGCGGCTCCGTCATCGTTGGGGTACGGTTGGGATCTACGTTAGCTTGAAGTGACGTTGTATAATATAATTTATGTCATAAATACCGAAAATGGCACCATTGGTCAAGAAGCTAAACGGTGCTAACTTACCAACCCAATCACATAATGGTACCCGTAGCTGTTTGTTGTTGTCTTGTGTATTGTTGTCCGTTCTCCTCCTGCTATCCAGCTAACCTCACTCCATCAGGTCAAGGCAGATGGCTGTCCTCCCTGAACCTGGTTCTGTTGGATGTTTTCATTTTGTCCTTCCCTATAAGGGGTTTTATTGCCTCTGACGACGGGCAGCTATAGAGTAATTGGTCCCATCTGTCCGTCTGTGAACAGTCTGTAGCTCGAGTGCTGAGGTCTAACGAGTTGGTGGTGTACAGGTGAGCTAGGAACGGCCTCTCCTCGGGAGGATTTGATTTTGGGGTCAATCAGTGCAAAAATATTCAAGAACGATGTATACCATCAGATTGGTATGATATTGCCATTATGTTTTATATATGGACAGTAGACATGACACCTTGGACAACCAGCCAGTCATGATTACTGGAAGGTAACACCTATTAGTGTTAAATTGGACGGAACGGTTTCCTGGGGCGACTCTATCCCTCTACTGGAGCTCTTTAGTTATTTCTTCCCACCGTGTCCGAAGCCTGAAGGGCATCCGAAGGAAAGCCGGGACTTGTTGGGTTTCTCTGTTCAAAATCTGAGCGGTCTTCACCTTTCTATGTGAAGGGCTATGAGATGACACACGTTATGAATCGGCGCTATGAAAATAAAATTAAAAATTAACGCTACTAAAAAAAAGGGCTGCCAGAAATAAAGAAGAACTCCTTCTGGAACAAAACAGTCCTTTAAATAGAACACGTTTGTCTTCTGTGGAAACTCAGAACCCAGAATCAAGGACAATACAGCAGATACCAAGAGTTCCAGGAGACCATGTCTTCAAGGGTCCCCTGGAGGTGGTCGATGGTCTGGGCGTCTCTTTGTGGTGGTTTTGTGTCTCTTTGTCATTATCTGTCTTTTTATGGTGTATTATTATTATTTAAATGTATTTTATTTAATCTTTTTAAACAACATCTCGTCATGTGTCGACCCAGATCATTTGAATTTTGCTTCAGAAGAACTTTTAATAACTTGCATTTCTCTAGAACAACATTTATTCTGAAGTACTGACCCAGACCTGCACACGTCTGTGTTCTGATTGAAGAAACCCGGCGTGACGTCTGGACTTATCGCCTTCAGCCTGTTTGTTCTTGATAAGTTCTTGAAGGTTACAGAAACTTTGCTCAGCGAGGTCGTGTTGTGGCCGACCTTCATGCTCAGAGCTCCAGCCTGCCGCCGTGCACCACAGTGTTGGTTTGACCTCGGCTCTGTGCGCCTGAGCGAGCGCCGCAGGCTTTTATATAAGCGCCTTTATGCAAATCAGCCCTCAGACAGGAGCAGCGCTCAAACAAACCGCCGCCTCAGCACCAGTTTCAGGCAGAGGTGGCTCCAGCGTGGAGGCTAATCCAGCAGCTAAGCCCTTCATGAGCGGACTCTGGTCTGGTTTGAGCTTCTGGGACGAAACCGGTCCTCTGCAGCGACGGTTCAGACGGACCGCTCACTGCCCCTAACACTGTGTCATCAGGGCTGAAAGCTGGTCCAGCACAGGCCAGACCTGTAGCTGGAGGACTTGTAAGATGTGCTGCTGCTCACGGTGGACGCTGGTGGTCACTCACCATCACATCCTGGTGAAGCAGAACTAAACTGTGTGATTCCAGCTCTAAAGTCTGAGCTTTTTGCTCCTTTTCGGGGATAAAAAAGGAGAATTTGCCAACTCAGCTCAGAGAAAAGACAACAGCAGGTCGCAGCTCCGGCGAATTAAATATTCAGTTTATTTCCAGAGTGAGAAGACGGAAGCAGCTCCACAAGGAGCCATGTTGTCCTGCAACGTTCAGCTCTGCTGCTCGGGAAGCTGAATATTTAATCTGTAGGGCTGAGCTCCTCCACGCCGGCTCATTTCACATAAAACTTGTTCTCAGGAGGGAAACGAGAACATCTGCATCATGCTGCGTGATGACATGTCGTCTGAAAGAGGTTTGAATTCTACGACTGGATGAAGCTCCGGTTTGAGCTCCGTGTGTTTATCTGAGAACCAGATTCAGACTCAGCTTGTTCTGGGTTTGGTTTGTGTCTTTCTCTGGTTGTTTTCTGTCTGGTTTTCTTTTCTGTGTCTTTGTGGGTTTTTTCATCTCTTTGTGGTCATTTTCTGTCTCTTTTTGTCTTTGTTTTGTGTGTTTTTGTTGTCATTTTCTTTCTTTTTGCAGTTGTTTTCTGTCTCTTTGTGGCAGTTTTGTGTCTCTTTGTGGTTGTTTTGTGTCTCTGTGGCGTTTTTGTGTCTCTTTGTGGTGGTTTTGTGTCTCTTTGTGGTTGTTTTGTGTCTCTTTGTGGT